GAGTCATGTAGGGTGGCAGAAACGAGAAGGAAGTTTCCAAGAGAGGAAGGAGGGGAGGAGGGAGTAAGGATGCCGAGAAAGGAGAGACAGAAGTGAGGAGGGAGGAAGAGGGAGAGAGGAGGGAGGAGGGAGGAGGGAGGAGGGAGGAGGGAGGAGGGAGGAGGGAGGAGGGAGGAGGGAGGAGGGAGGAGGGAGGAGGGAGGGTATGTCAGTGTGATTGTAAATGTCAAATCCATCTCCATGTCCATCATATCAACTTCACTTCTCGTCAAAGTTTCCTCACCTGAGTTTGACTTGACAGCGTCCGCTTTGCATTCTCGCATTCCCTTCGCAGCCTTGCTATTCCTGACTTGTCCTTCTGTGGATCTACTTTCAAGCCCTGGGGGTTCAGCATCAGTCTGAAAGTTTTCACATCTCAACAGCAGACGCTCACTGTTTTCTTCTCGAATAACTTCACAATGTGCGCAACGAGTCTCTTGTCAAAGTCCTGTTACACGTCAGAAGAACAAGGTTCATGTTCGAGCAAAATCACTTCTCCTCCCAGGTGGGTGTCGCCGTTGGTTGCTAACACCTCAAACACTCCATTGTTGACAGTCCTGTGAAAACTTCAACCTCCCAGCGAGCGATCAGGTCACAGCATACAGCAGCGAGACGTCGAAAGTTCCTCCTCCAAGGTCAAAGACAAGAATGTTCTGTAGTTAGGAGAGCATGTAACTTCCACCTGTGTGGAGTTGGGAGGAACGATTCTCACCTTCATCGTGCCTCCCTTGTCCAATCCATATGCAATCGCTGCTGCTGTTGGCTGCAAGAACAAGTATTGACAACCGCTCACCAAAATTCTCCTCAATCTCACGATGTTGGAGAACACAACAACAGTTCGATGAAAAACAACAACATTTCACAAACGTCTTTATCATCCTAACAACAGTCCACACACACTTTCGTCATTCTGACAACAATTCGCACACATATTCATCATTCTCATGAAGTTGATGGAGATACCTCGTTGATGATCCTCAGGATGTCTAGTCCTGCTATCCTCCCCGCATTCTTCGTCGCCTAAGAGCAGGAATCAAACCTCTCCCCCTTGCCATGAGTACAAGTTACTTGTCGTTGGGCGTCATTGAAGTATGCGGGAACAGTCACAACAGCTTTCTTGACCTTGTTTGTAGGGAATCAGAAAAGATCGCAGAACAAACAGATCTCATCACTTTGGTGCCCAAGAATCCTTCTGCAATCTTCTTCATTTCCATCAAGATCATTGCAGAAACCTGCAACCAGCACAACTTTCATGACCGAGAACAAGACAAGATCAACTATTGCGATGATCACAGCAAAGGCAAGCTGAACGCAGAGGCATACACAAACAGCAGGTCGTATCAAACAAATCTCCTTACCTCTTCAGGGGCGAGCGACTTCTTTTTGCCCTGATGTTTCCAACCATAACAACCATGACAAGAAATCCATCAGCATCTTACTTGATAGGAGATGTCTATCATCGGCTTGCCGTCCCTCTCCCTCACCTGACACACAACTGTCAAACGACAATCTGATCAACGCAGCATCGCTCTCACTTTGAAAGGAAAACTCTTTATGTCTTTCTGAACAGATTGTTCGTTAAAGCCCCTCCCGATGAGCCTCTTCACCTGCAGCAAGGCAGGTCAGCCGACTTGCCCCACTGCTGCGACAACCATCTTGCAAGCCTCACGTCATAGAGCGTGTTACTTGGGTTGTTTCCCACTTGATTCTTCGCCGCGTCCCCCTGCAGAAATGCTAATCTTCAACTTCGGAACATCATCATCGGAGCAGCTTCACAGACCACAAGCTGCTCGCCGTCTTCAGAAAATGCAACCCACGAACTAAAGTGAAGGCTCAGGTTTGAAGCTCCCTCCCTCCTCCCTCCTCCCTCCTCCCTCCCCTCCCCTCCCCTCCCCTCCCTCCCTCCCTCCCTCCCTCCCTCCCTCCTTCCCTCAGGAAATAGATTGCGCTTACGGTGTTATTCGATTCCCTTGATCGTTTGCTACAATCTCCACCTTCACCATCACATGTCACCCCGTCAGATGCCAGATAAGCATGCTGGCTGCAAGCAGAAGTTGGAGCGGGGTCAGGAGGAAGAGCAGGAGCAGGAATAGAGTTTGGACGAGGACGTGGACGTGGAGCAAGTGGTAGAGGTAGAGAAGAACGAGAAGGAGCAGAAGTAGCAGAAGCGGGAAAGTTCAACATGAGTGCAGTCGCAGTTCTCGAAAGAGCTCACCTGTCCATTCCTATAAACACCAACACACGAATATGTTGTCCCAAGGTCGATCCCTATAACATGCTCTTCTTCCTTGCAGTGTACGAATGCTACACCCGCCAGAAAGCACCACAGCACCCCGTGGAACTTAAATCCCTTCATCCTGCCGTGAAATTTTAGCTCCTCTCATTTTCTCTCCTGTTGATTGTGATGGAAACATATACTTGCCACGGACTCTGCTGCTCTTCTGCTCTCCGTTCCACACATATTCCCTCGTATCTCTCTCCATGTACTCTCTGCTATCAACTTGCTCCTCCTGCTCCTCCTGCTCCTGCTCCTGCTCCTGCTCCTGCTCCTGCTGCTCCTCCTGCTCCTGCTCCTCCTGCTCCTCCTGCTCCTCCTCCTTCTGCTCTTCCTGCTCCTGCTGCTGCTCCTGCTGCTGCTGCTGCTCTGCTTGCATGCTCTGCTCGTATCCAGCATGACGTCGATGGGTCTGATCCTCAACGTAGCCCCACCCCTACCCCTTCTCACGTCAAAATCTCTTCTACACCCACCCTGGTGGTTCATTACCCCCCCTTTTCACATTCATGAGAGGGGTGTATTTAGGTCAGGCCACCCTACCACTAGTGCTGCCCAGGAGGTACCCCCATGTCATACAGGAACCAAGGGCGCAACGCGATGGCGAAGGATGGGGGGCAACTGGAGGGAGAGGGAGGAGGAGGGGGGGGAGGAGGAGGAAGAGAGGAAGATAGAGAGCAGGAGATAGGAGCAGGAAGATGGCGAGGAGGTCAAGGAGCATGTCGGCATACTGAGCTATCCGTCCTCCTCTGCTTTCTCGCCTCGTCCTTGTCAGGCGCTAGCGGATTTCAGTGCAGACAAGGGCATGTCTACAGACCGTCTTGCCTGTACGTGCCTCTTCCTCCTCTGCCTGGAGTTGGCCATGGACTTCGACTGTCATCGTCCTCCTTGTCTTCCCTCCATCGCAATGGCCTGTCGAGGGCGATTCCTGTACCTTGCCATGCTTTGCCGAAATGTACCTCTGCGCATCGCAGGCTCGGGAGGAGCGACCGGCACGTGCTCATGGCGTCAGACCCTCTAAATCCATGGCGGCAGGGGCAAGAGGAGCCGTTCAACCCCGAAGAGGACGTGTGGAGCTCGGATCAAGTCTACGTCATCCTGGAGGGAAGGGAGATCAGGGGGCCAGTAGCGACTCGATCCGAGGGAGAGAGAAGGAAGCGGAGCCGACCTGGACCGACGAGAGGACGGCATCGATGGGTGTCGAAGCCTTCACAGATGGCGGGTCTGGTGCACGAGGGGGACGGCATGCCTCTGTACAACCTCAACCTTAGCTATGACTTGCCTGTCCCTGACCCTGGCCCTGCCGAGGTTCTTGTGAGGGTACATACAGTCGCTGTGAACGAGCTGGATGTCTATCACATGCAGTTTGCAAGCAGTTTCCAACAGCAAGCTCCGTCGGAGGAGCAGAAGGGAGGAGGGGCGATGGAAGAGAGTGGAGGAGGAGGAGGTAACACCGCGGGGAAGGGAAGGGGGCGAATTCCTGGGTCGGAGTTTGCCGGGACTGTTGTGGAGGTGGGAGAAGGATGTACGAGGTTGAAGGTGGGAGATGAGGTCTGGGGGTCAACAAACCCTGCTCTGTGCTGGAGAGCAGCAGGGGACAACCTGGAGTTTGCAGGGGGAGCGTGTGCAGAGTATGTGGCAGTAAAGGAGGAATGGGTCAGCCATGCACCGGATTGTTTGGACTGGTTGTACATTGCAAGTGCTCCTGTAGGTAAGGAGACGATGGTGAAGTGCGAAGTGAGAGTTGTATCCGCGTTGTTGTCTCGTGCTAAAGGTGTTGGGTGAGATTTGTATGCTCGGAGTTTTGTTGCTGTCACGATATTTGTAGACAAGATTGAAAGATGACGATGTTGATGTTTGACAGATGCGGTAGTCGCTCTCGACGGCCTCCGAGAACTCTGTTTGAACTCTGTTATCACCAAAGGCAAGAACGTGCTGATAGTCGACGCTGACAGCTGCATTGGGTGCTATGCCGTCCAGGCAAGATGATCTTAGCTGAGATGACGTCATCAAAATTGTCTGACATGTCTCATGAAGATTGTCAAGAACATGGGAGCTGAGGTGACCGCTGTTGTGCAAACTCGAAATGCAGAGCTGCTCTTCTCACTTGGTATCTCCCCTCTCCTCCTCCCTCCTCCCTCTTCCTCTCCTCCTTCTCTCTTCTCCTCCTTGCTCTCCTCCTCCTCTTCCTCTCTCCCCTCTCCCTCTCTCCCACTCCTCGTCTCCCCTAGCTTCCTATTCCCCCACACGACTCCTTCCTCCTCCTCC